ATTCACTTGCAAGTTTGAGAGGCACTCGAATGTTGCGGCCAAAGATGATTAATTCTATGGCCCTCCTGCGCTATGACATCACTTCACTTCCGCTAATGACATTATGTTCTTTCACCTCTTTTGGGCGAAATTCTCGCGTCGAATCGAAGACGAAAGAAACCTCAGGTGAGGGATCGCACCTAGTTCTGAGATGGTGAAGCCCTTTCATCCTGACAGAAAATTCTGGAAATCATTCTTCAGTGTTGCTTTTAGATGTAGAAGCAATAATAACTGATCCATCATAAGAGGTTAAAGGCACATTCCACGATTGAAAAAGTGTGAGTTATTTCTCTGAAAGACGGATGTAGTTGCGGTAGTTGATCCATCATAATGAAACAAAACACAAAACTGCTTAAAATCGCTGAAATCGCTTCCCGCACTGATCGTAACGGTAGGGTTTGCCCCCCCCCCCACCTCTGCAGTAATTCGCTGGCTTTTGTCCTAACGTGTGGTTGAATAGCTGATAGTAGAAGGTAGAAATCAATGGAAAAGCAGCTTAGGGAAAGAACCAACCAAAGTGAACTCCTCCGAAGAGGTTGCGCGAACCCCATCCATATGATCAGCGTGCAATGTGATTTTAGGTTCACAGCGGTTTTTGCTTTCTTTTGTAAAGCTTAAAAGGTTGGACCAAGCACCACCACTACGTTCATATTCAAACACAATTACACACTCTACTCAATCGAAGAATATGCATCTAACATTATCAACGGTCTCTTACGGTATGCTTGCACTCAACTCCGTTCGCAAAATCATCCTTCAAATTTGGACTCCGAAACTTCTAGACAAATTTCTCAAACTTCTGATGGAATTTTATTCCCTAGACAAAAATTAATCAAAAGAAATTTTGAATGGTTCCCAGCGACTCATTAGCAACCTTTGAGAAAGGAGACCGTCAGAGACGATAGCTCACACAATCCATCAGATAAATGTGGTTCAGGCGCTGAAGAACCGCTAAGAAAAAGACACACGAAGTGTAGTGAAAGCGCTTCGAATAAGGCCCTATTTCCGCAGTTGCCTTTGAGCCTATGAGAGCATATGGTGGAGAAAGGCAAAGATGTATGTACATGCCCAGACGAGGGACCAGACGGAAAAAAGGAGAGAATGATGATCAAAACGCACACACCGCTGCCTCAGCCAACTGCAACTTTCCTGGAGCATTTACCGGCATTGAAGATGGCACCTCATCTCTCTTGTCACGCATTTTCGAGCCTACTTTCATGAGCTTTTGCCATTCATGAGAATTCAGTTCTTCAGGAAAAATAGGCTTGTTCGATGCACAGGCCATCGACCAGTGGTTCACATCGCATGGCTGGTATAAGAAAGTATCAAAAACGATTTTTGCTTTCCGCACAGCACAAGGAATTGCCTTGATAACATGTCCTAGTTTGCTGGAGTTCTTATCGAATAGCATGGGCTGTTGAACGCCTAGGCCTTTTAATATTTTCTAATTTTAGGTTTCCATCGGATTTCTCGAAAGGAAGAGATTTTTGAATGGATCATTAAACAAATTTATGGAAATCAAAGTTAAAAGTTGATAAAAGCATTGCATTATAATTCATTTATTTTGGATGCGGCACGCATTCTACTTCCATTTGTACATTCGTAGTGGCGTTTGAATGCGATGTGGCCTATACAATGACTTGCGGGGCCAGCCGATGTACAAGTCAGTGTTTTTATCCTCCCAGACAAGTCTGGTACCAATTAACCGACCCCGGAGGGATGGAAGGCTTGGTTGGCCCGGGCGACTCACGACCCAGGATTTGATCCCCGGACCGCGCTTGTGGTAAGCGTGCCACTTGCCACTGTACATCACTTCCGTACTAAAATGCGAAATAGTGTTATGAAAGAAGCATATTTACTGGCTCCATTACTGAAACAATGCAAACCCTTTGAAGACACATTTCTCAATACCTCAACAGTGCACATCTCATTCTTTTGGTGTAGGCTGACCTTCTAATTGCTACCACCCGAGGTGGCGATAGTAACGGTCGGCACTGCAGGTCCTCAAGCGATGCACGCCCTTGAAATGGTACCCTCGTAGTGTCCACGTCCACCTTGACTGAACTCATCCTCACCACTTAGCCACTGGGACCTCCGTCCTGGCACACTTCATTATATAAGCTCTACAGAATCGAATCAACTGCAATAGGGTCTTACTCCTCGGCGGTTGCCTCAGTATATCCTTGACTCGTGAACTACTAAGTGAACTGCAGTTATAAAGTCATAATGATCATATCCTGCGATAGGGAAATGTGCCTATAAAATGACGCCACTTTGCCTTCAAAGTTTTTTTCCTAACATTAAGCACTATCAAACGAAGCCATTCAGGCCAATTACTCGGCATGGCTAATCACTTTCGTTCCCGTAATTTTGCTTGAAAATCTGCATAGTAAAAGCATAAAGGATGAAGTATTTGCCGTTAATCAGCCCCTCACTGGGATGCGACAGGATGGGGTGGATAGTTGGCGTTGGTGAACCGTTCGCGGATTAGGGTTGTGAGGTTAGGGCGAGGATTTAGGGTGTACCGACTATGGAAATACCATTTTTATCGAGGAACCACGAAAGAGGATAAAGCATTTGCCGTTGATCAATCCCTTTTGGGATGCGGCACGCATTCTACTTCCATTTGTACATTCGTAGTGGCGTTTGAATGCGATGTGGCCTATACAATGACTTGCGGGGCCAGCTTTTTATCCTCCCATTTAACCGAATTCGGAGGGATGGAAGGTTTGGTTGGCCCGAACGACGCACGACTCAAGGTTCGATCCCCTGGTAAGCGCGCTACTTGCCACTACACCACTGCCCCCCCCCCCTTAATCTGCAGTATCGCTTTTGAATAGGGGAAGCCAATGTTCCTTGAGAGTTTCTATTCATTTTCAGAACACCTCTCTTTTTCTATTTATCTCCACTTTTCAGGGTGGTACCAGATCTGGAGCTAGAGGGATTGTTCAAGCGACACTTCACGAAAGTGGAATTTTTCACCGGCACCGTTATGGATTCGTTAGACTTGTCTCGGGTAAAGGTACGTGATTGTTCATTTAATCTTGCTAATCCGAGAATTCTAAAAATTCTCAAGGCTTTAATTCGTTAAGGTGTCAGATGCGGACGCTTGTTTGGTGTTAGCGAACAAGTACAGCACAAACCCGGATGCTGAAGATGCGGCGAATATCATGCGAGTGATCTCCATCAAGAACTATTCGAGTGATATTCGAGTGATCGTTCAGTTGATGCAGTATCACAACAAGGTATGTGGTTTGGTTTGGGGTTGGGCGTGCGTTTGGGAAACCCATTGCGCGGCGTTGTGCCAAAATTTGGTACCCGAGCGCGTGTAGACTTACTCATCTGTGGCGCCGTATTATTGTAAGTGCGTGCGAAAAGAGGATGCTATAGCCACGTCTCCAAGATTAGGATCTCCTGTTTCTCCTTCTTCTCTGGTTGTGGCATAGGGTCTCCTAGCAGCACTTTGCCTATTCACAATCCACGGGCCAGGGAACCGATCCTGGAGGAATTGCTCCAAAGTTTGAGAGAATTGCTCCAATTACATACGTAAACATTATGAGGATATTTGCTCACTTTTCAAGCAATATTTCATCTTACAAAAGTGCGTTTAGCAGAGGTGTAAATCCTTTCATAAACTTTTGGACCTCAAAATTGTCAGAGAAGCTTTCCAGATAACGATCAACTTCCTCACGCTCACGTACTGGGTTTGACAAAATCAACGTTACTATTTATCATTACGATTTTACAAAGGGGTTATGTAATTTACTGAATTTGGGATTTATAATGTTGTTTCAACTCCGGAAACGAGCGTTAGAGCCGTCAGTAGGTATCGATGAGTCCTCTCACAGTGGAAACGAGTTGTAGTGTCGAAGTACTCGTGGCCAACTAATTTACCTAGCCTCGCTACTCGCCCGCTGCGGCTTCTGTCTTTCCTGGGGAGGGAAATCGGAAATATGTTGCAGTCTTTCCCCACATGCATGCGTCAGTTGGTGATTGTAGGGACAACGTACAAAGTTTCAAGAATTTCGGAGAGGTACGAACTTACGAAAACCACACTTAGGACGGCAACGGGCAGATTGGGCGGAGACAAGGGGACGAATGGAAAGAATCGAGTTAACACGTTCAATTTGGAGAGTAAAAACCAAACAAAAAATAGAGTAACATCCAGTGGCAAAAGGAAATGTTATTGCAGAAGCAAGCGGAATTAAACGCGTCACAGTCCTTCCAGATTTTCGAACTTCTTGCCAAAACAAGCACAGCTTTTCTCTCCTTTTCGTGCTTATCGTGAATGATGGCTATCAAGCCGATGATTTGTGGATGAGATGGAATCATAATTATCTAGTGGATGATCCCTTCAATGTGCTCTCGGTCATGCGGTAGAGAGCCGTTTGGATGTGGTAAAATGAAAAAGGATAGAGCTCTGAGTTTCATCGCCTTCACTTTGGGCATGCGCATGCGCCTCGACGTCTGTTTACTCGAAGGACGCCGTATCGAGTGACCTACCCTATTCCAACGAGTATGGGAGATCACCAATATCCACTGTGCGACCATTTGCGATATCAACTTTTCATTTTTATGGGGAGTAACCTATCTCATCAGAGTACCACCAACCGCACACGCTACAAGGAAGATGCATTTCTTGGGAGAGGTGGAAAGGTGGTTGTTTTGCGATAATTTGATCTGGGATGTTGGCTCGCGGGCTCCTTATATAGAATTGCAGGGACATTTGCAGTAAACCTCATTCCCTTCGAGAACTTGTAATATATCGTTTCTCAGGCATACCTGTTGAACATCCCCTCGTGGGACTGGCGACGAGGCGACGACGTGATTTGCCTGGCCCGAGCTGAAACTCGGCTTCATCGCACAATCATGTCTTGCTCCCGGCTTCTCGACGATGATGGCGAATCTTTTCGCAATGAGATCGTTCAAGACGGTACGTTCTTGATTATTTTGCTTAATTTACCCTTAGGACTTTATTTTGACGCAGTTTCCCGTTTTTTTCTTCGTTTCGAGCCTTTGGTAAAGTACTGTACCCCATCAGCCTATTTTTTCAATTTCTTTTTTCGCCAACATGCTTCTGTTTTTTCATAGTGAGGGTGAGATTGATGAAGGTTCCGTTCAGGCTTCTATTCACAGACATCAATCTTCGCCGTCAAAATTTTTCTCTCATGTGTTCTCGGCCTCTGTTTTCGGCTTTGCGGCCTCGCCATTATTCCCAATTAGTCGAAAATTCCGCAATGCCTGCTGTTTTCGGCTTGGCGAGGGGGCAGGGTGTGCTGAGGAGTGAAGGAACGAATATGCTGCACTGGAAGTCTCTCTAGAGGGGCCAATCTTAATATCTGCAAGTGTGACAATTTCTAATTATTCCCCAGCAGTACCATGAATGTGGTGCTAGCGTCACATTATTTCGAAAGTCCTCCTCTGTGCTTCTGGACTGTATAATTTGCCTCAGGACCCATATAGGTTTGCAGTCTGAGGCAGTTCTCCATGTACGGCGCGGAGCAACTCTTTTGACCTTACGTTTTTAATGCGGCTTAGTTAGTCCTTCGTGAAAATGACCGGCGCAAGCAAAAAAAGCTGTCCTGTGAAAGAGGATTCGAGGCAAAGGATTGGGAACCCTCGTTAAGGCCGGGTCACATACGGGTTGATTCTCATTTCTACTTCAGCTTCAAACTTTCTGTTTTACTAAGGCATCACCTCAATATCTACTGAAGTTATTCTTGTTCTGTAGACAGATTTTTTGCAGAGTTGACAAATTTTCCTCTGTGTGTGTGAATGCTTTACCCTTCTCAGATGTGAGGAGAAGTGTAGTGCTGCTCTTATGATATGAAATCATGCATGAAAAAGATAAATATTGTATGTGCGTGGTTTGCTCTAACAGAAACTTGGCAGGACTTGCAGGACTTCAAGGCTAACGGTACGGTAAATTGAGTTCATTGGGAATGAAAGTAGGACTGCTGAGAAGTGCAGCAGTGAAGAGAGAACTGAAGAATACGGCTCAAACATACTACCCTTGCAGAAGTGTTTTAATGATCCCCTCCGGTCTGTGGGGTAGTCACCCAGAGGACAATCACAGATGTGACGCTCTCGTGCACGAAAATCACCTGAAAAGGGCTTGCAAAGTTAGCTGCAGCAGCTGCAATGTTCCCCGTCCGCAGCAGGCTGTTGTCTGACGCTCTCTCATCTGTTGCGCTCTCTCGCCTCATACTCTCCTCTCCGCGCTCAGTCTCTCATTGCCCTAAAACGGCCTCGCAAAAATGCCTCGCGCCTCCGAGCGAAGCATTCTCAATCAGGTCTGAAACGTACCATTCTCTAGTGACCCCCCTAGAACAGTCGCACCACGAAAGTGAGAAAGCCAAAAATCTGAACATTTTCGAGAGATTCATTTCCCTTTTTTCCTTATTGCCGGCCTATTTCGCACCAATAGTTTCGTGATCGTATGCAAAAACGAATTCGATCCTGGGGCAGGCTCCAACCCATAAGAAAAGACCTTTGTGCTCCCCGTGGGTTTCCGCGTTGTTACTAAAGCTAGAAAAACGCTTCGCATGAACTTCGGTTCTAGAGGCTTTAGCTGTGAGACCTTCTGAACAGAAATAATTAGATCGCAGCTTACAACGTTCATTCTCTGACTCATCTCAATAACAAATGAAAATTCCAAGCGTGTTCTAACACTGCATGTGCTGTTCAATTAACCCATTGCAGTCACCGCACACGCCATCATGGCTGAACGACTATCTGCGTGGTGCTGGCATGGAAATGTACAC